AAAAAGTTCTTTTTGATTAAATAATACTTAAATTTATTGTAAACCTTGAGTATCTATTGACAAGACATTATCAGTAAAATTTATGTTGCTATAACTGCTTACTCCGTAGTGCATTACTAGGTGAATAAATTTTTACCTACCAAAGAGGTCGTTTTAGAAATGAAAGTAGATGTTCCAGTGGTTAGTGTTGTATCCGTTGTATCACTACTTTCACTATTAACTCTTATTCCAGTAAACAATAAAGCTCCTTCTTCTAAAGTGCAAACACGAATAAATCGTTTACCCGCTGACCAACTGTCGGTGGTATTCTTCGAATTTCCTCTGGTCATTTTTTGAACTATTCCTGTTGTCCATACACTTGCGTCACTACTTCCTGTGCTACTGTCGCTCCCAGTACTAATGTGACGCCAACGTTTTTCTAAATAAATTATCATATTAATATTGTAACAGAATATAATAAATAAACCCATTTACTCACTGTCATTTATTCCAGCAAAATTACTTGAAGTAATACCCAATCTTTTTAATAAAGGACTACCACCTTCTGGACTTTCTACGCTGTGTGCGTGAGTTATTAATATTCTAGGACTTCGTTTTGAATGATCTAATGCTAATACTTGACTTGGCTCACTTGCAGTGTTTGATGATTCGCGATAACCCATGAGATTGGTGATACTTGCGCTCGTTCGTACTAATTTCCCACTTCCTACTTTAATTTAAAACAAGTTTCAATTAGAATCTTTCTGAAAAAAAGTTATGTTTGAAAGAATAAATATCAAAAACTGTTTCTTTCGTTTGATAAACTATAAAATAATATCAATTCAAAAAACTTTGTAATAATTTTTTTCTCATTACCAAAGAGTACTAAAATCTAAAGTTAATTAATAGAAATGAGAAAATAAATACCCTTTAGGTGTGTTATTTCAATACATTCCACACATCTAAAATTTGAAATACCGCTAGTTTTTGAAATTATTGATTTCTAGGAATGAATAAATGGTATATTGACTGTTTATAGTTATAGGATTTTTTAATACATAATATTTTCATTATTATAAATTAGCAAATATTTTTTTTCCACGGAGAAAATTTTTTTTATTAAATGTAAGTGCAAAAAGTGACAAGTCTACGTTTCGAAGTTTAGAACTACTAGGGGATCTTCATCAATTTATGTATAAAAAATATGTATGTATAGATAAATATATATGTATATATAGTTATAAACAACATGTTTATAATTTATATACCGTTATATCTTTGAAGTGAAAGATATTAGATATGCAAATAACTTTCTACCGTTTAATGAAAAACGCCTTTACTAAAAGGTTACGTTCGAATTGTCCGATATGAAATGTAATAATATAAGTATGGACATCCATATCGATTGTGTGTAGAAAAATTTAGAAACGATGTGAAGGACAAAGAACGTAGTGGACAGCTGAAATCGTATGCTGATATAGAATTGAAAGCATTATTGAAGGAAAATTCGTGCCAAACGCAAGAAAAATTTGCACTCATATTACAAGTGACTCAACAAGTAATTCCAAATTGTTTAAAATCATTCGAATTGATTCAGAAACAAGGAAATTAGATTTCACTTGATAGGTAAAAAAAGTGAGTTTTTACATCGTATAGTTACTGGTGATGAAAAGTGGATCAATTTTGATAACCCAAAAAGGGAAAACTATGAAGACCACCTGTCCATGCTTCAACATTAACAGTAAAACCGAATATTTTTGGAAAAAAAATCACACTGTGTATTTGGTGGAATCAATTTGGTATTATATATTAGAAGTTTCTCAAACTGGGCGAAATAATTACTAGAGCTCTCTTTCGAACATAGTTGTCGATTTGTTTTGTTTTGTAAAATTTGAACCTGTTCTGGTCGATGGCACATGGCCTGTTTGAGAAGCACTTTACATCATATGGAGATACTAAAAATTGGGTCGATTCGTAGATAGCTTCCAAAAATAAAGAATTCCTTTGACGTGGTATCTGAACACTGCTAGAAAGATGGAAAAAAGTAATAGCTAGTGATGGACAATACTTTCAATAAAATACAATGTACTGTTATTCTACAATAAATTTTAAATTTCCAATTAAAAATGACGGAAAATTATTTGTACACCTAACGATGTTTTTTTAAATAATAAAAATCTGTAGTTCATAATATTTACTTTTCCAAATATAATTGATCGAAAATTTATCATTGAAGTTTCTGTAGTAATAATTACTACATTGTACAATGAAAAGATATAAAATTAATCGATTCCTAAAAAGATTGGAGTAAATTCGTAAAAATATTCATTTTTGACATTTATATGTAAAAAGGGTTCCATATTTAATTGACAAATTTACAACATATTTATATATATAAAAAATTCTAAGAATATTTATGTTGATATAGAATCTTGCTTTATTTGAGTTTTTAATATTTATTAAACAAAATTTTTAAAAATATATTTGATTTTTTCTAATGACAAAATCATTTCTATAAATAATAAGTTGAATATTAGATATTTTTATTCGAAAAGGATGTCTGACTTTCTATCGTGAATAAGTTTTCGAATGAGATGAAAAGTATACTTTAAAACCAACATAAAGCGACTCCGTACTATGAACAAGATTCGATAAGTGATGAAACATCATATTTTAATCTTATTCAATCTTTTCGATGCATTCATTCCTATCTATAAATACAAGAAATAAAATATAAGAATCGCATCAAAATAAAAGAAAAAAAATGTGCTGAGAAATTAAAAAAAGTTATCAAAAGTAAAGTCGTATGACTTTACTTGAAAATCATTGAATAAAATGAAAAAGTGTCTTAAAAATTATTAAATAATTTTTTTTTCTCTACATGAGAAAAAAATGTCAGAAGATACGACAAATCAGAAAAGTCAACAATAATCATAACTCTCTTAAGTTGACTGAAATCAGTTGAACATTCATAATCTCGATATTTGTCCATGTGTGCTATCACTAACTGAAATACTATTTTTAATTAAAATAACAAATTATCATAACAGAAGTTTGACTATCATTCAAGCTGACAATGTGAGAGTTTCATGGAGTAGATAGTTATGAAAAATACTTTTCATTAATTACGAAGAAAAAAAGATATTCGAGTTACCTGATTCAAAAGTTGGAACAGGCAAAGTATTATATGATGCAGCAGGTTGAAGTCTATGATTAAAATTGTTAATATTTCCACTTTCAAAACCTATTCCATTTCTTGAATTTGCTCCTAAATTTAAGAGAGCTTCACTCAGACGTCTTTGGAGTGGAGGAAACGGAAACAGAGATACTGGTCCGCTTCCCGATGGTCTTCTAGAACCTGCAACGCTCGGAGTTCTTGCTTGAATTTCCTGATAAAAAAAAATTATAATTCATCTTGGTAAAAGACATAAAAAGAGACGATATAGTAAGAAGTAATGAAAATGAAGGAAAATCAAAGAAAAATTATTTATGATGGATTTACCTGCTGCAATTCTGACTTAGTCACTTTTTTACGCCAGTAGTTCTGAACAGAACGACGAAGAGTTCGTGACTTGAGGCCGTAGAGTAAGCCGTTAATCGGTGGCGAACTAGCTAGTAAAAGTGAGGCCAAGGACACGAGTTGAGGATGTACGTGGAAACGACTTGCGGCACTGCAAGCTTCCCACAGGATGAGACCACAATAAGGAAAATAAAGTAGATAGAGTGATCCAACTAATTGCATGACCTAAAAATTTTTTAATACAGTACTGTTGTTCAAAGTGATTAATCTTTGAGTAACATGCTCTAATTTTTTATTTCATTAGAAAATTTTTTAGAAATATAATGGTTCATTCATTAAGTTGCTATGATTATTTTTGTTTGTTTTTTTTTTGTTTTTGAAAATTTCAATCACCATGTTCCAATTCATGGAATATTTTGCATTATAATTGATACTTTGGTATAGTTTTTCTTTTCAATTTCTCATAAGGTTGAAAAAAATAAAAACATTGTTTACAGATTTTGAATAGAGATAGTATATTTTTTGAGTCATTTGTTAAAAAATGTAAGACAAATAATTATTGTGGATATAACTTGTTAAAGTATTTATTCATTAACTTAATAAAGTATAGAATTTTTTTACGTGATAGAGAATAGTAGGTGGGAAAAGATAATTAAAAATGATAAAAATTTTAAAATACCTTAAAGATGGAAAAAAATATATGATATTTAAACTTCAAATCTATCACCAAAGTACTACACATAAGACTTTGACGTAACTGTATTAAATATTCACTTAATACATTCTTATCAATATTCAGTCGTTACTTAGTTATAAAACGCTATTAACATTGTAGCAAAGTTGTTGATAAATTAAAATTAATTAAAATATTAATTAATCATGAAGAAAAATAGAAAATGTAAAATAACTGAATAATTCATTTTTACAAAGACGTTCTTGGGGTGATTTTTTCATTAATAATTTCATTCATTTCAAGATTTTTTAGTTTTCTTCTGATTATTAATAATTACTTTTTAAGTAGTTTTTTCTATTTCGATAAGATGAAATAATGAATAAATAAATTTGTATTATAAAATGAATTTAAAGATAGTCAATTTAATAGTAAATATTAAAAACATGTCAATGAAGGATTAATTAATAATTAATAAATTAATAAACTAAAAGAATTACTAACAGTACTGGCAGCACTATGAAATTTAGGTGGACCTCCAGCAGCTGGTGTAGTTACAGTAGGCATAAAAAATGGATTTCTCTGATGAGTAATGGTCACCTGGGCACTGAGAGTGACTTCATAAATTGCACTAGCTATTCGATGTCGATGATAACGAGCTATTCCAAGAACTCTAAGATTACAAATTGTTACTAGAATAGCAGGAAGAATTAAGCCCAGAAATACATAAACGACAGCATAGATGATATTAGCAATAACTTTAAAATCATGGCCAAAGTCAGGAATACAGCAACCAAAGTGCGAATTGTATTTGAAAGGAGATACAGAGCCTGAGAGTGGTGGTAGACAGAGTAATAAAGCACCCGTCCAGGATGCAGCTAATCCCAGAATAACTCTTCTTGGTGAAACCACTGCGGTGTAGTGAAGAGGTGCAGCTATTGCATAATATCTGTAAAAGAAAATTTTCAGTTAATTCTCTTTGGTAAGATATTTTTTGATATTTGTATATCGACAGTGATTCTTTACGTTCCACTTTAAATAAGTATTTCTATATTGTTGTTCAGTAAAAAAACAATTTAAGTTTGGCTAAAATAAATATTATTAACAGGCACGAAAAATTTTAAGTTACACTCGAATGATTTTTTCAGTCTATAAAATCATATTGTAAATAATTGATTTCATCTTTATTTATCTATCAATGAAGGATTTACCATAATGAATTTTTCATTTAAACAGATCCGAATATAATTATTATTAAAAAACAACTTTCCGTAAAAAAAATTAGGGACTCGTAATTGAGTAAAAATATTTTGCAGTAGATATAGTCGAAATAATAGCATTGAAAATTATATAGAACAGGTGTAAATAGATTCTAAAAGAATCAAAAGATGAGAAAAGTCTTTATAATTCAATTATGATAAAGTAAAATTTCTAAACCATCTTAAAGTAAATATTATGTAATATACTATTAATTTCTAATTTTAATTTTAGAACGAAATACATAAAAATTGAAAAAAAATAAAAATATGAACTTTATGACATAAATATTAATTAATTCTAAAGAAAGACAGAAATTCTTGACGATTAATCTTAATTTGATGTTTTTTCCACAAGCACTGATAAAACTAATGAAAAGTTTTTTTTTTAACTAGATAGCAATTCCAAGTACAATAAGAACATATATAACTGATCATTTTTCTACGAACTAAAAACATAAAAAGTTCAAATATTAAAATTATTTTCAAAAAAATTCGTAATCTTTGACGATTAGTTCGGAAACAGCACCAATATAAATTTATATTAAAACTTAATTTTCTGATATGGAATTCATTCTTTTTATAGCTTTTATTTATTTATTCTAAGTATTTATGTCTATAATACAGCAGCATAGAATTTGGAATTTGTTTGATTGAAATAAACTTCAATTCATTTTCTAACAATTGTAAAGTATGTTTATCACGGCGATGAAGTTTTTATTGAATTATATTATTCAATTTCGTACAATTTAAGCAATACATTCGAATTCTTGCAAAATGATATTCACTAACTAGAAAAGAATTATTATTGAATGAAAAAAACTTTTTTGTTGAGTTTTAAATATGTAATTTAGATTTAAAAAAATAACAAGCTAATTAGTTTTTTAACAAATTTTCAATGGTTTATTATTTCTTATTTGGTAAATGTACATATGTTAAACGAAGTATTTTGTGTAAAGTTTATACACATATGCATGTATTGATAAAAATTTACTTTCTGAGAAAGTGCCATTTTTCTAGGTTTATACTTGATTACCTGTCACCATTAAGTCCAGTCACTGTCCACAGAGCAACAGGGTGCAAAAATGTGAGTAAAAATCCATGTAGCATACACCAGGTACTAGTGATAGGCCAAAAGCCGGTCGTAGATATTAGAAAAATAAAACAGATAGCGAATTCTACAGCTCCAAGATGAATTAGGAGAATAGTGTTAGAAGTTTGTTGTTGTTGCGTCTTTAAAATATGAATAAATTATTAGACAATAAATTTTTTTTAAAAAACCAGGAAAATTGTGAAAAACTGGCTGAATAATTAAACTTTTTCTTATCAATTATGTTTTTATTATGCGATTAATTAAAATATATTATTAACCTGCTTGCCAAGGCCAACTACTACCAGAAGTACACAAGCATTAAGAAGGAGACCCAGAGTAGAGACTATGATAAGTGGTATTCCAAACATCCAAAGCCCCATTCCTCTATTTCCTCCGGGTTAGAGAAAACTTTCAATTTAATTTTTCATCCATTTTCATTTTGGTATGCGTAAATATTTGAATTGCATTTTTATTTTTCTGAAAATTTTAAAATAATCCTTTTTAAGAGTATATTTTATTCATCTAAAATACTTATTTTCAATATTGTGTAACAGAAGCAATTAATTTACAAACAGTGTTATATCTATATTCTTGATGTCTATATTTTGTATTAAAATAAATATTCAAAATTTCTTTGCCAATTAAATGTTTCTCTATTTTTCTTTTTCAATTTAACTTTTTAAAAAAATATTCAATTTTGTTGATATCGCGATTGATTAATATTTATTTATAATTGAGTAAAATTAGTTAAGTGAATTGCACTGTTTCAATTGGGAGATAAAAATACTTATTTATTAAGAAATGCTATAGTTTCGAATCCCAAATATTTAATCTTTTTTTTCATAATAATAAAGATATCTCCGAAAAATAATAATTATTTCAATCCATAGATGGAGACATTCATATATTTTACAATATAATACTTATTGAAAAATCGTTTACTTCTAAATATTAACATTTGGAATGACGCTTTTTTCAATAATATCATAAAAAAGATATTGACTAATCTTTTATTAACACTTTTTATGAAGCGAAATGCGTCATGTTGTGGGCACTTAGATTATTTTATTGTTCGTATTGAGAATACAAGGTAACCACATTTTATTCATATTTATGCATATTAAACATACATATAAATATATTTAATGTATATGATGTATGTTTACTTAAATCTGTCTTCAATACTTGATAAAGATTTTTTACATACATTATAATAACGTCATAATAATCTCATCAAAAACAGCCCCCTCTTTCTGGGCTGTACAAAAATGTGCGCCAAACATAAATAACGACAATGATGAAATGACAAAAAGTCCTAAAATAATTAAACGCCAATTATTTAAATCTACAAATCAACAATATTTAAAATGAATTATTTTCTTTGGTTTTTTTTTCTCTAAATTTAGTACGTTTAATGACGCAATAAACATAACAACCAAAAACTTGGCGTGACTGTTAAGATTTTATAAAAGCATGAAATTGTGAAAATATTAAAATATTTAAGCCAATTAATAAATAACAGTTACGCCAAGTTTTTGGTTGTTATGTTTATTGTGTCATTAAACGTACTAAATTTAACCGAAGAAAATAATTCATTTTAAATATTGTTGATTTGTAGATTTAAATAATTGGCGTTTAATTATTTTAGGACTTTTTGTCATTTTATCATTGTCGTTATTTATGTTTGGCGCACATTTTTGTACAGCCCAGAAGGAGGGGGCTGTTTTTGATGAGATTTCACCATTTTTTGTACATATCAACTGAAAAGGTATTTTATCTGTTCAGAAAATATTTTAATTATTTGTATATTCGCGCTTGAGCAAAATTAACTTGTTACCAGACTTTATAATCTGTTAGTGAGAGAACTTCATAGCAATTAAAAACTTTGATCACCAACTTGATAAAAAAAACGTATGATTGCTCCATGAATAAACTCTCATTTTCCTTAATTTTTGTGCAACGAAATTTTTTCAATTTCGTATATTATGAATGAAGCAATGATAATACTTCATAGTATGCTTGATCGAAAGTCAACGATCGCTTTCCGAGCAAATTCTTAATTTCAGCCCATGTTTATGTTATAATAAGAAAAAAATTTTAAATTTAAAAATTATAACCTGCAAAAATCATCTTATACTTTGTATAGAGACACGGTAGTGCCTCGTCGTGACGTAAGGGTTAAATGGCGGCGATTTATGCTTGGCGCACGAGACACTACCGTATCTCTTGATAAAATAATCAACTTGTTTTTTATTTTCTAAACAAATGATAAATACATTAAAGAGAAGAATGACTATGTCTAATTATATGAGCTTTCAATCTTCACCACTCATCATTTAAAGCAATTTTTGATACTCCTTCATTTTCGCACGTGAGGTTGGAATTTACAATAAAATTTTACTATTTTAACATTAGAGATACGTAAAATGTTTTATTTTTCAAATTTTCATTATGTATTGAAATGATTACAGATTTTGGGATAATTTTTATTTAAAACTTTTTTGATTATTTAACTAATTACATAAAATAAGACGAAGATTCATGACCAAGATATTTGTGCATTTTGGTATCACTGTAGCTGAGACAATATTTGTTTTACTAAAAAATAATAGACTTTTGGAGATATTTGGTTTTTCCATTTTTCGATAGGCTGTTTATATATTTCCAATCTTAGATAAATTTTTAGTGAGGAATTCATTTCATATAGATATGATTCAATTTTTTTAGCAATGTTATTGCTGTATTAAGATGTTTTGAATTTTCAGAGTATGTCATCCTATGTAGGTAATTTAATTAGTGTGTCGATACTGGTTCCATTATCGACTATTAACAAAGTCTCGATGTCAACCTATTTAAGCACTACTCGCGGAAGTGCTCGTTAGAATTGATAATTATGAACAGTATGTTTACGAGAGCACTATATACATTTTCTCTCAGCAAATTCGTTACTCTCATCAATTTAACTATGTTGAAAATAACATTACCCAGCATGAAATACTTCCAAATATAATATAATCAATATTTTCAGAATCTAGTGCCCGTACTGTATAAGCTACTCGTTAATATTACCTTTCAGCTATGAACTCATCTGTTGAAGTAATAAAATCATTTGGTTGCGGTTAGGTGCTCGCAATTCTTTTTAGTCATTATTTGAAAATTTCATTTTTCAAGTTTGTAAGAATCTTTGTTACGTACAAATATACCTTTTTCATGAGCTCTGGTAGAAATCGTTCTACGATTCCGAGTAAAGTCTCAGCCGAGTTTTGATAAGGTCTTCCTAGTTACGTTACTAGTTGAGCCTGATTGAGCTTTTCGGGTTAGATTCATCCAATCAAAGTCATGTTAGATAAAAATCAGGCAATTGGAATTGATTCCACCCCATTGAATCCTTGCTAAAAATATGTTAAATTTAAATTATACTACAATGCAGCTATTTGTAAATATGTTATTTCTTAATTTATTGTATAGGAAAAAGGTACACATATGGTATATTGATTGTATTGTAGCAGTAAGCGTAACATAGTCATTGCTCATTTTTTTCTTAATGTAGTGATGGAATAATATTACGTATAGAGTGATTATATTCATCTTTGAAAACTTGACTCTTTATATTTTTTCAGTATGTATGTAAATAATTCATCTATTATATCTCAATGAACAAATTTTTCTACAGTAAATGTAATGCCATCTCTCTATTGATACAAAAAGCCATAACAATTTTGTTCACATCTAACCTCTTGCTTAAAAAAAATATGACGTTGAATATTGAGTGCAATGATTTAATCAATTTTCTAAAGGATATTGAGTAGGTGATTTTAAATGTGAAATGAAGATAAATGAAAAAAAAGTAAATAAATGTGTGCTTTAAACCAAAATAAAACCTAGAATCAATAAAGAAAGCATTGAAGAAATAAATCGAAAAATTCCTGAAGGAATGATGAGAGTTCAAGATCAAGGAGGAGAAAGGATAGTAAGAAGAAGTAATGATGACGACAATGATGACTTGAGATACGTGCAAAACATCATTTATCGCTCGATTGTATTTATGTGTGGGTTTATGATCTTTCTATTTATTATGATGGGTGTTATTGCAATTGGATACTTTTGTTATCTTAGTTAAAATAAGCATTGGATTTTATAATTATTTGAATGATTAAAGTTAAGAATCAATTAATTTTCAAGTATTCTTAAAACTATGTTTAATATCATGAGAAACAAGATAGTAAAATTTATAAAATGATAAGATTCTCTTTAATAATAATAAATTTAGTGACTGATGTAATTTATACAAAAATTTGAATATAAAATTTTTTAAAGTGATTTTAGCATTAATGAAATCTTTTCTAGTACAAAGAAAAAGGTTTTTTCTGTGTGAGTTGTTTGGAGGTCAGAAAAATAAATAGTCATCAAGAAATCATATTTTACACTAAATAACAATTCAAGAGTCTTTAAGTGTATTGAACTTTTAAATAAATGGTTGTATTAATCTCTTTCTTGAATTCCTAAAAAGTGACTATGAAAAAATTTGAAATTATCAATAATATCAATATAATATAATATAAGTACCATGGCGTCGTAAAAATGACAGAAATATTGCGGGTAATCACATTACCTAGTATTGTAAAAAATTTGGTAATTATATAGTATTACTCCGTCACTTTCGATTTCGTTGGAAATAAAGTATATTGTACTTTTAATGATGCTGATCAAGAATATGTGTATATATATATAAAAATTTAATTATTTCGATTTCTACGATTCTAATCTTCTCGAAATCTCTCATACGAAATATACAGTCCAGTCAAATTAGACTTGAAATAGTAATTTTCCAACCTCGGTCAAACTTGGCAAATTTAGTATGCCTAGAAATATTTCAGCCAAGTTTGACCAAGGTTGGAAAATTTCCATTTCAAGTCTAACTTGACTGGACTAATACCTGTACAATAGGATACGTATTGTACAGATAAATAAAGAAAAGATCTATGAAGTAGGTGGAGCTAGGGAAGGGGTGATTATACTTCGGAGCAATATAAACGAAAAAAAAAATTTTGAGCAAAATTGCTGTTTTTATTTTCGATTGATTTTCTCACCTACGATCTCAATTATAAATAAAAATTTTAATTCGCTCTAGAAATTTTTTGTTTATATGGATTTGTTGTTTAAATATACATCTGAAATAAAATTTATTAGTAACTCTGTCCGAAAATATCCTTCAGCTGGGCTGTAGACAGATTTCCCCCTAGAAAGTTTCTAGCAAATTTATCTCTACAAATGACGGCGTCGAAAATTGATGAATTTAGTTAATTCAGGACTCAATCGAAAGCTTATTTTATTCTTCACATCAGAAAACAACAATATAATAACATTAATTACTTCATCATAATTTAAAATGAAGATGAAGATATGCACTCATTTTTCACTAGATTTTAGAGGTGTCATGGCGGATACCGCGGTCATCGGCCATCAACGAGAAAATGATTTATTTCAAAATAACCACTGTACCTATACTGTAAATCGTTGTTTTCCGATGTCCATACTATTGTTCAGGATATTTAAAAAAATATTTTATAATAAAAAAACGAATAAATAGAACACAGTTTCGTGAGAAAAATTTCAGGTAATCATTCACAGAATCGTATTTTTTCCATTCTCGACAGGTGGCGCCGCAATGGTCTCTGAAAGACATGGAATGATTATTGATTTTTACGATAGTGTGCATCAAAATTACTGAGGGCCCTATTATAAGACAAGTGTTATTTCTTCTGTCGCAGTCTTACTCATTCCATCTTTCTGCGCACATAAAAAAGTATGAGTAGAAGTAAGAAAGCCATAGATTTCTATTTTTATTATTTATATGAATTTAGAATTTGTTATTTAAATATTATCATGATCAATAATCATTTGTCATTAACAATGTTGAATTATTTTGAACACAATTCCATATTATCAACAATCATTATTGACTATTATATTGTCTTCAATGCTATTTTTACCATTTCAACACAAGTTTAAAATTTTTTTATTGCTGATTCTGTTTTTTAAAGTTTTTTTTCCTATGAAATATCGTTATCATTTTCCTATACAATTATTCTAAACATTTGATATTCATATTTTTCAAAAGATCTCGAAATTCCGTCTAAAAAATGGTATAATTTATAAATTGCAGAATTTAGGTAGTTCACCATTTTTTCCAGTTTTTCATTCTGCATAAAAAATGGCTGGACCGATTTTGCTGAAAACCTAATCAGTTCTAAGTTACATAATTACGTGTCAAATGCAGTTGGTCCCACATCGATATCATTTTTTGTTCTCGAGATAATCGAGGCGAAAAATAATTCCGACCGCACGTACGCACATACGCACATACGTACATACACACACACAGACGTCCACGTAAAAACTATCGTATTGAACTCTGGGGACCTTAAAACGTGGAGATATGTCAAAATTAGCGATTCGCAAAATCGGACCCATTACTATAACTTCCCACTGGGAAGTTAATTATAATCAATGTTTGTTGAATCCTTCCAAATCCATGTGATGTACACATTACTTAATCAGTAAATACAATTTTTAATTGTTTATAACAAATTCGTATTGTTATAAATAATGCGTAATTGTTAAAAGTCATATTTAGTTGTGAACAATTATGTATAGTCAGTATCGACTTAATTTTTAAATAAAATTGTTATTGTTTGACTTAAAAGTATTTTAGATAGCTAACCTTTCATTTTTTTATTAGTTATTTGTTATAAAAAAAACGGCTCGAACGAATTTGTTCAAATTTCACTGAGATCTTCTTTTTGATAATATCTTCCGAATTAATTTCGGTTGAAGTCGATATCTTAATCCGAAACGTGCACGTTTTCATGGGGATATGATGAAAACTCAAATTTCACCAATCGACCCAATTTCAATAACTTCCTAATGGGAAGTTAAAAATCATTGAAATCGGATTATTTTTCGATTTTCTAGAGCCAAAAAACGGGGGACCACGAAAGTATGAAATTACCAAAAAAATTTGTTCTTTTTTGGTGTTATTTTTTTCAATTGGAGATTCACAGACTCAATTCAACCGAAGTGAACTATAAACCTCAATATGTATTATAAACAAAAAAGTTCTATCCTCGTCATGGTATGTGAAATATTATGTATCAGTATCATATCTTGACATTTTGACTGAAGAAAGTAGAACATGACTGTTAAAATCGATATATCAGTCGTCCAGTTCCAATTCGGCAGGTAAAGTCAATACACTTACAACTTACTATTAAATGAATATAAACTATAAGAGATTTCTGAAATGAAAATTTCTTTATCTTCTTTCGGTGAGTCTTTTTTCAAGTTATCAAAAGTATTGACAACCTTCACTTGCACTCTTTGTAATTAATATAAAAGTTAATTAATTGAATAGATTATTAATCGAGCCACACAGAGAAAGAAGTAAATGGCGAGCAACTGGAATTCTAGTAGTAGCCATAAGACAAGCGAGCAAAAATGGAGACGGTCGGCCTGTACAGTAAAATTTACTTTACGTTTCCAGTCAAAATATTTATGCGGTTCAACTTTACCGTAAAGGACCAATCTCTTTACACGCTAAGTCCACTTTAATTTATGTCAATTAGAAGTTATACATTAATATATTTCTCAATTTTTTTATTCTTACGTTTATTAGGGTAAATATAATAATGACTTTATAATAATGTTGCATTTATTTTAATAATATTAAAAAATTTTCGACATAATATATGTATGTATACATAAAACTAGGAGTATACAAATCGTACATTGTGGCCATAATATAATAATCACATAAACTTTTTATAACAATTAAAACAAAAATTATACTCACTGATTTATATGGCTCATTTAATCAGAATTATATTTGTTTTATTATCATTTGATACATTTTAAATTTGAATTGAATTTTTTTTCCTAAAAAATTTTGTCCACTCAGGGATTCGAACCTATAGCTACTCGCACGCATATGACTTAAACCTACAAATCAACCCACTTAACTATTTTAATACTTCTTTTATAAACAAGAATATTCGAATAAGCAAAGAAAAAAAAACGATCGAATTCATTAATTGGTACACAGCATTTACATCACGGCGATTGATGTCAATTTTTCAATATTTAGAAATCTGTACGCCGACAACAAATTCTTATAACTAAATATGAGATAAAAAAAAATTCCTTTGCTGTGAGGTTTCATTTAAATCCACTAAAATAATAAACCCCGAAAATTTTTTCTGTTGATTGTAAAGGTTTTTTAACTTCACCATAATGTCAACAATCCTTCAAAAACGATTACAATTCATAATATTTAAAGTAAAATCAATATTATCATTTTTCTCCATGTATCTCTTGTACGCTTTTCTTC